GATTCATATATGGAGACGTGCATACACACAGGCACATACATACAGACTGACACATACACAGGAGGAGCCTAGAAACAATCAGGAACACAGGTACACTCTAACATAGGGAGACGTACCTACAGTCAAACACAGACACAGAAACACAAACACACACTCTCAAATTGCACAGATTCCCACTATCAAATCGAACTCCTTTTTCACAGGCACTGCTGATGTGAGCAGCCTCTCGGTATCAGCTACTGCAATGCTGACAATGCGAGTGTGTTCAACTAGACAGAGAAACTGCGCCCCCCGCAGAAAACTACTTGTAGCTGTTTCATTCCTGCTTGTAAGCGGTTACTAAGAGCAGGAAATAGGAGCCCCCCTGGAAAACAAGGCTTTATTATGTGCCAGTTAGAACAGATCGGTTCCCAAAGTCCACTTGAAGGAGAGATTCTGAAACCTACTGCCCATCGCCATGAGCTGAGGGTTGGAAAGGCGAACCGCCATCAGCTTAACTTCCATGTGAGGGGGAGGCGGGGGGGAATTCTGTGATCAAAGAGTTGAAATTCTTCGAGGGCCAGTATCTGGAGCCCGAACACTTGCACACACTGTTTTAGATCAATTATATACGTTTGTTTTATTTTTAAAACAATGTCCTTTCGCCTTCACACCATAGACATCAATATAAGTGGCCAACTTCAGAAACCAATTAATTCCTGCGTTTTCCCAACTCAACCCTTTCTCGTCAGCCCTGCTTCAGGGACAGGAATATCAGGAGATGAATTAGCCAGGAGCTCATTCTGTTCAGATGTAACGGGCAGCGCTGGAGCCCCGGGTTCAAATCCCCACACCCCTTGTCCTGGAAGTATGCAATAACACATCCAAACTGCCAGGTTTAAAAGCAAATTTGAACTGTTAGTCTTTCGCTTCCAACACGGTCTTTAACGGAGGGACTGGGGACATACAGAGAGCAGCCATCAGCATATTGCGCTTCTTTCTTTCTTTCTGTCTGCAGGTCTGTTTAATGTCACAATCCCACCTCCATCCATTGCCCAACTGTGAGTCTCCCCCCAGGAGAAGTCATTAACAGCCCCTTCCCACCCCCCTCCCAGTCACAATCTTGGACCAGTTCACCAGATTCAGAGTCGGCTCACCCCACCCCTCCCACCCATTGGATGTGCATTGCTGTAGCGGCGGTGGAGGAGGGAGGGAGACATGGGTACTCTTCCTTCAGCATCTCTCTCATTCTCTGTATGTCTGTACCATGGTCTAACACAGAGACCGTACTGCGGCTGATTCCATGGTCATTTTCAAAAGGGTTTGGGTTAAGTACAGTTTAAAATGGAAAGACAACGCAAGGGTGTGTGCTCGCCAGGGGGACACTCACTGGATCATTCTTTCAAAAGGCCAGCACCGGGTGCGGTGGGCCGAGTAGCCTCTTTCTGTGTTGTCCAATGACAGGGGCGTGTGTGAACAGGGGCTACATTCAGCCAGGAGGGTCTGACTGATCTCGCTCCCACTCTCAACAAAAAGCGGCTGATTGAGGAGCCTATTCAACACAATCGGAACAGTTAGAAATGTAGCGAATGTTTTAGATTGAACGCAGAGTTGCCGTTTATAATGAACACAGCGCCCTTAGCTCCGATCCCGCTCCGTAAAAATAGATTCCCTCTGCTTCCATCCGGATTCATTGCACAGTCTGTAAATATCCCGCTCTCTACATGATGAAGTGGGATGAAATGTTCGCCGGCTGGATATGGGGAGGGGGTAGGAGGCAAAGCTCATGTATTAAACCGCCCCCCTCCCCATTAAAACAGCAGCGAGCCGCTGGGAGGGGGATGCTGGGTGAGTGGGCGGTGGGAGGGGGCATATCTGCAGAGAATGGGTATAAGGTACTGCGGCACATGAATGAACGAACGAACGAATGCAAAGGACAGCGCAGCCCGGCTCGTCTCAGCGGCTCGCCCCTCGTCGCTGAGTTAAAAGGAGTTGAAATAAAGCGGGTGGGGAGACAGCAACTCCATCCCATATGCAGTTCTCCCGAGAAATAGCAAAATCTAACCCAGACACGGTCTCCTGGAAGCAATGGCATAGCCCGTATCATTTGGCCTTGTCTATAAAACACACACTCTCTATCAATACACACACACTTTCAGAGCGCCGAGCCTTCGCTGGTTTAAATCATACACACACAAACACACACACAGAATACAGGCACACATACGGACACAGATACAGGCACACATACTGACACAGATACAGGCGCACACTGACACGGACACACACATTGACACAGGCTGACACTGGCACAGACACACTGACACACACTGACACAGACACACTGACACACACAGATATACACACTGACACAGACACACACAGATATACACACTGGCACAGACACACTGACACACACAGATATACACACTGACACAGACACACACAGATATACACACTGACACAGACACACTGACACAGACACACTGACACACACAGATATACACACTGACACACAGATATACACACTGACACAGACACA